ACTCCTACACATTCAAATTACTATCCGAGATCTGAACAAGGGATTTCTCTAGCCCCCAAACCCAGGTACGATTAAGCCTAGTTGGCAGCATCATTGCTGGTAAAGTGGAACACTTCGCGTGACAAGAAGACCTTTGCCCAGAAATTGTCCGCGAAAATTTAATTTCATCGAGTTAAAATCACTCAGAACATATTAAATAATAGTGACGATAGACTGTTTAATATGTTTAGATAATCTACATTAATCATTCCACAATAGATAACAATGATGACTGTTATTTATTCATAATATGCCACGAAGCAGCGCCATCACGATACGGTGCACTGAACCATTGCGGGCCTCGATGATATTCGAATCAGAATCCAGGCACCGATCGTGGCCTGAATTTCAATGAATATTCACAGAAACAAGAATTTTTTTAATATTGAAAGTAAAAATTCAACTTGGAAGGATGAAAACAATTAGAAGCTAACCAATGGGACCAATTTCCTGACAATAGGCCAACACAGCATGCATATATACGAATGACTGAGGAGTTAATTAGTCAAAAAAGTAACAATTGACTCTTTTATTATTCGTAAACTGATGAAAACCGAGACTTTCACTGTATCTTTCATCTAAATAGGGGCCACGATTGTGGGTTTTTATCAGTAAAATAAAGATTTTCCGCTCCGTCCACGAAATATCCCTAAATACGCCCCGAAAAATTTCTCGCAGCTTTAGGCCGCTCGTGAACAAACTTAATTCCTGACCTCGACGTCTAATTTGTTTCATGGAGAGCCACGTGAGCACACGTGATAACACAGTTCGGATTAAAATTTGACTTAAAAATATAATTCGAATGATATTATCAGGTGGGCTTCAACAATAATTGACAATATTCATCAGTGCTTTATGATCTTGAACTGATTTATAAGTTAACGTTATAACATCGTATTGATACTCTGCTAACTTAATATTTAAATTTCATCGGAACGTTAGAACAGAATTCCATTAATGAGGGCACAATACCATCTGTAAAGATTATGGCTCTTTGTTCTGGGGATTTGTTCAGAATGAAAACGCGTTGTAGATTGTAACGGTTTCTGAAAACAAAGAATGAACAATCTGAATACAAAATTTAGGTCATATTCGAGATTATAAACAATATAGAAAAAAAACAAGGTTAACAATAAAAGGATCATAACATAAGTAAATCATAACATACCAAATTGCTGAACAATCTCGGGCAAGTTTGGTTCAAAATGAATTTTGTCTGAGCTCATCAACTCTGGTCCTACGTAAAAGGTCCCAACCTTATGTACACGGGAGAAGTATGTTCAGTAAAATTCTTTACAGCGGCCCCAAATTTAAAGACCGGCTTATCGAAGTATGAAAGAAAAGGAAATTTTATTCCTAAAACTGAATCTTATCAGACGGGTTAAAATGCACTAACTGATAAAACAAGGTAGCTCAATCAGTTGGCATGAGCAGTACTAGCTTTGAAATGGGTCGCTCAATAATTGAAGTCCCCAATCGAGTAACTGAGCCGTCTTTAAATTTACATACACGAATTTTGACCCTTCGAACTCTTCCATCTTCGCTCGGGGAGAGTTTTTCGACGCGACCCAGTGGCCACTGATTTCGTGGCAAAGTTATATCTGAGACGATAACCAGGTCTCCTGGCTTCACAACCCTTTCTTCCTTGTTCCACTTCTGTCTTGTCTGCAGCAAATGCAAATATTCGCGTCGAAAACGAGTCCAAAAAACGTCTGCGAGATATTGCGTCTGACGCCAGCGACATTTAAGGTAGATGTCCGACGGCTCGAACAAGCCTGGAGGCAACGATGGGGTCGAGTTCAGGAGCAGAAGGTGGTTTGGGGTAAGAGCGTCACAGTCATTCGGGTCGTCCGATAACGGAGTGAGGGGTCTGTTATTCAATATACTCTCGACTTCGCAGAAGAGAGTATTCAGGCTCTCATCTGTTAACTTCGAAGGTTGCTCGAGTAGCAGAGAAGTTAAAATTTTTCGAACGCTTCGAATCAGCCTTTCCCACACGCCTCCGTAGTGGTTTGCGTAAGGCGGATTAAATTTCCACGAGATGTTTCGTTGAAGCAACCAATTTTCGAAATTAACCTTATTCCAAGATTCTAGCGCTTCTCGCAATTCTCGGTTTCCGCCAACGAAATTCGTGCCATTATCGGTCGTAACGGAGGCAACGTTTCCTCTCCGGCAGAGAAAGCGACGGAAGGCACTGATAAAGGAGTCCGTATTGAGGGAAAAGGCCACTTCGAGATGAACTGCTCGAGTTGTTAAGCACGTGAAAATCACGCCGAAACGTTTTTCCGTCTTACGGTTATTATTCACGTAAAAAGGCCCGAAGAAATCAATACCCACATGGGTAAAGGCTGGGGTGTCCGTCGCCAGCCTCGTGGCGGGCAGATCGGACATCATTTGAGCACAAAATTTTCCTTGATACTTGATGCAAATAGTGCATCTGCTCAGAATTTTCTTCACAAGTTGTTGTCCTCCAACAATCCAGTATTTTTTAGAAAGTTCCGAAAGAACAGAGTTTTTCCCGAGGTGTCCCAAGAACCGATGTGTTTTATTCACGAGAAGAGTAGCGATGTGGGAACGGGCAGGTAGCAGGATAGGGTGCTTTTCTTCGTGGTCCAATCTTGAGCGTCTAATCCGTCCTCCAACTCTGAGGATGCCGTTTTTGTCGTAAAACGGATTCAACTTATGCAGGCCCATTTCTTTCAAGCCATCTCGCTTCAGAATATTCGGGGCCGGATATTCGAGGGTTTGGACGTACCGAACTATTGAATCCTCTGCCAGCTTCAAGTCGTTCACAGTTAAACGTTTCTCGCAATTCGTTCGTGATCTCAGATAGGAGATAAATTTTCGAAGCCATGCCACCCGGAATCGCAGCTGTTCCCAGGCCGACGTAGAGTTGATTAATTTGGAAATGATGTCTGGTTTGCTGCCCATCGTCTTAAAAAGCCTGGTGCTTTTCAATTCAAGATCACTTTCATTAATCTCGTAGATATCATCAGAGACAAACAAATCCCGATCCGATAAGAAAGTCGGTCCTAGATTCCATTCTCTGGAAGCTTGGAGCTTTTCGGGGGTAGCTCCTCTACTGAGCAAGTCAGCAGGATTGTGCTCCGAGGGAACGTGACGCCAATCTCCAGCGTCCGACCAGGTTCTCACGTACGCGACTTTGTTAGCCACAAATCGTTGGAATCTTCTCGAGTCGTTCCTGATGTAACTTAGAACAGTTGTTGAATCTGACCAGAAATATCGTTTGTCCAAGTTGAATTCTATTTCTCGTTGCACGCATCTGGCAACGTCCACTGCGAGCTTTGCGGCGCACAACTCTATTCGAGGAATTGTCTTCAGAGTTTTATTACCGAGAGGAGTGAGTCTTGCTTTTGAAAAAACTGGCGGACTCACGAAGGCACCCTCGGAAGTTATGAATCTCAAGTAGCAAACTGCTCCGTAGGCAGTTTCGCTGCCATCACAAAACGTGTGCAGCACTGTGGAAATGGTTTCACGAGGTGCAACAGAAAATATTAAACATCTTGGTATTTCATTTGCAGACAGCGAATCCAACGAGGCCAACCAGTCCTCCCAGGCTTGGCGAAGTTCGGGAGGTAGCGGCTGATCCCCAATCAAGATGCAAACGACACGACTCTTGAAAAATTTTTCGTCCCCTCACGATCACTGGCGCAATCAAACCAAGAGGGTCGTAGATGGAGGCGGTGAGACTGAGTATATTCCTGCGTGAGGAACAACCCGGTGGCTGTAGGGGAGCGAAGGTGAAGAAATCAGCGTCCGCATTCCAAAGTACCCCAAGTGTTTTTTCTTTCGGCAAATCTTCTTTTTGCAGCGGGTTGGCCTGAGATGCATCTTTCAAATAATTCTGACAGCGCATCAGATACAGGGACAACTCGGTAAAAGCATGGGCGTCTTCAGATTTGATTTCTGGCCAAGCGTGGAGCGTGGTCAAGTACGCGTCAGCTACCCTAAATTCGTCTCCGTATTCTCTCTTAAGGAGTAACTTTGCCTGCTGATAAGCAATCGTCGCGTCGGCGTTCAGGCAGCTTTTTACTAATTTTTGGGCATCCTTGATCATATATTGTTCCAGATATGCGAGTCTATCAAGATTATTAGTGCACTTTGACTCTATTACGCTTTCAAATTTATTCAGGAAGGCCTTGAATTCGGTCACGTCTTCGCCGCTAAATGGCTCAAGTTTTTTAGGAGGCAGCGAGGCTTCTTCCTGATTTCTGGCTAATAAACTTGAAATTTCGTTTTGTTTTTCTAAAACGTTGATGAAAACGTCCTGTGTCAAGGCGCCGGAAATCGCAGCACTGGGACAATTCTCCAACCCGTGGTTAGTACATAGTTGTTTCGAGGTTTTGCGTAAGATAATTGATTCAGAAGAGCTTGAAATATCCATGGGATTTATCTGTTCCTCCAAGGAGTTCAGCTGTTCCTCCAAAACTTTGTTCTCAATATCTGCCTTCTCTATTTCGATCCTCCGTTTCTGGAGGTTTATTTTCTCGAGTTCCTCCTCCTGCTGTAGTTGGCTACGTCGAATGGCCATTTCTTTTTCCTGAAGCCTCTCTTCCTTCTCGAAGAGGGCCTTTTCGGCGTACGTCTTTGCGCGCTGTTGGGCCAATTTGACTCTGGCTGACGATGTTGTGGAGCTAGCAGCCGAACGTACGCTTCCGGAACGGCGACTGCCACGGCTGGAACAAGCATCCGGCTCCCGTTGAGATGCGAAGAAATCTTCCATTCTTGAACGAAATAGGTCTATTTTAGCACGGTGGGGTCTCAGCCAGTCCTCATCCACGTCTTGTTCACAGGCCTTTAGGAAGGTCTCTAACTGCAACAAATAATCCGTGTACTTAGCACGAATCAAAACACAGTCTACTGTGTCCTTAAGAAGCTCTTCTTCTATTAGGTTCTGCTTCCTAGTTACAGCTGCCAGTTTTCCAGACGGATGCGCAGACATGGCGTCGCTTTTGCAATTGGGTGGAGTGCGCTGCATTACGCTTAGGCCAAACCTGCTGGGCTCCAAGGAGGAGTTCCACAACAAATTTGTGAAACCAATCGATGCCGGGAGCAATGCTCACGCAACTCCTTGTAATGTGAAGAGGATGAAGTGGAGACTATACGTGCTGCAGGACATGCTCGACAGCTGCATTCAGTGGCTGGACCACACATCGCTGAAGACTTTGTTGCCATTGCCATCCAAAATGGAGTATGTAATCCTCATAAAGATGAGCCCCCTGCAGGCCAAAATGTACGATTTTTACAATAAAAACCTGGCAAAAGGCGGCTACAAGAAGAGCGCAACGGGTCGCCCTGGTCGATCTGCGTTTTTGCAAGATCTACATAACCTACGTCGTGTCTGGACGCATCCTATGATGCTGGCGACTAACACGTCTGAAAAGGATGAGGACCTGCAAGCCGAATGTGATGAAGATGAGGAAATTGACGAGCTGGACTACCCTGAGGAGGCAGTTTGCAAGCCTGCTAGTCCTAGTGATGGTGAGTTTTGGGAATATTTCTACCTATGCCTTTTGTTCTTGCTGCGCAGTTTAATTTTAGCTTGTTGCTATTTACGATTGAAATGTTGATCTGGCTTCATGAATATAGACGTGTAATTTTGCTCCATGGATAAAGTTTAAATTTGCCTCTTTTGGTACCGTTAAGTAGAAATATCCATGCACATAGCGTGGTTCTGTTTGCATGTTTTATAATATTTTGGAAAACTTTAAATGTGTTCCTCAACAGATTAACTTTAATAAGGAAAATTAATTAATCAAATTAAAACATGTCACAGATTCACCCGACGGTCTCACCCAGAAGGACAAAATGCAGCTGGACTGGTGGAAGGAGATCGTGGCAGCGTCAGTTGACATTAAAGACAAAACGTGGAAGAACTGCCCCGAATACAGCGGCAAAATGGTAATACTGCTGAACGTCATGCAAGATTGCTTTACCAACGGTGAAAAACTATTAATCTTCTCGCAAAGCCTCAGAACGTTAAACCTCATCGAAAACTTTTTAGATTTGATAGAAAAAGGGGACCTTACGATGCCATCCTATGAAAATGCCAAGCCGCTGCAGTTTACAAACTGGACGCCGGACTTGGACTACCTCAGATTGGATGGAAACACCCCTGCTAACACCAGGGAACGCCTTTGCAAGTTCTTCAATGATGAGGAGAATGACAGGTACTGTATTGTTATACCAGGACTAATAAAATTGTTATACCAGGACTAATATTCAATGATTTGAATATGGAGTCAGTCTCTTGAGTGAAGTTATTTGTCTCAATATGTCTTTGTCTTGCTAATGTAATGGATACCGTGAAATGGGGTGACTTTGACCACTTTTTTTTCAAAATGATGCCATTTTTTTACTAGATAAGTTAAACTTAAATTGAAACATGCAAAATACAGGTCTATACTCTAGCTTTACTCACCATAAATTGCTGGCTCCTGCCTCTCATAGTTTTGATGTAATTTAAAAAAAATTGATGGTCTTTGTTACCCCAGATTGACAAAATTTTTCTATGTCAAATCGTTTTTGAGTTTTGGGGGTTTTTGTTAAAAAAACGAAAAGTGGTCAAAGTTACCCCGCCGGTCAAAGTAACCCCATTTTACAGTATAACAATGAACTGCAATTCTTGTGGGCAATAAATCTTTTTAAAATAAAATTAAAATAAAATTTTTAAGTCTTCTGCACACAAGACTATAACCAAAAACAGCCTGTGTTCCTGCTCTGGCTCTTCTTCTCTGAATAAATAACCTTAATAATTTCTCAGGTGCAGACTTTTCCTTGTCTCCACTCGGGCTGGCATCGGCATCAACCTCGTGGCGGCCAATCGGGCCGTAATTTTTGACGCATCGTGGAATCCTTCTCACGATGCGCAGGCCACGGCGAGGATCTATCGCATGGGCCAGACCAAGACCAGCTACATTTACCGATTTGTCACACAGGTAATACTTTTGTTATGTTTTGCATTGTTTTAATTGCCTGCAGTTTTCTATCTCAGCTAACACCACATCAATTGCCACATTGATTAGCCGCATTTATTGTTATTTTGGGTATAATTCTTCTGTATAATTCTTGCTTCACTGCATGTAGACACGAAAGTAGGCGCCTCTGATATGTTAGCCTCAATTTAGCATTTGATTTTTAGCGCATTTTCTCATTTATGGAAAAATGGCCTTATTGTGCTCATGTTTGTCCGTCTGTCCGTGAAGTCACGTAATTGTCGATTTTGGAGCAAATGCGCTGTCTGTCACTGCAGTGAGTACTGAGTTATATTTTTTTTTCATTGTCAGGGCTCAATGGAGGAAAAAATCTACTGGCGACAGGTGTTCAAGCTAATTCTGTCAGCACGTGTGCTTGAGGAGAAGACTATCACACCGACATTCGACACCACCAACATCGCCGACTTCTACGAGTCATGTGCAGATGTGGAGTACCTCAACACGCCCATTGTAGAGGTCTTTGTCTTCTTCTTTAGTATCTTAATGATCTGTTCCTTACTATGTGTTCCCTACGTAGCAGTCCCAGGCCACGTAAGATTGAAGTTCATTTCGCTCAATTGAAACAATCTGGCCTAGATGGGAAGCTATGCTTATGCATTAGGGCCATAGTAAGCAGCACAGTGAACATTTTTGTTAGCTTAACTCGTAGTGCAAAGTTATTTTATAGTTACTCTCATCTTTTCTAGGCTATTGCATCAAAGCTTAAATAGCTAGTTGCCCAATGCTTCACTGTTGTTCTTATGTGTGTTATTCACGTTCTTGCAGGATAAACTGATGGCCGGCCTTATCGCCCAACACAAGAATTGGATCTCAGCGGTCTTCTTACATGACTCACTCCTCGATGGCGAAAAAGAAGAACTAACCGAAGAGGAGAAGAAGGATGCATGGCGAGACTTTGCAACTCAAATATGAAAACTCTGAGGTAATGCTTTGCGTCCAGGGCGATCAACGATGGAGGTTACGTTTCGTATTCCGTTCGCGCCTGTTATAAAGTTATAGTCAAAGTTATAGGCCATAATCTGTCATAAATTCGATGTGCACATCTGGTTTGTGGAAGAAGGCGGCGCTTGTGTTAAGAGTTAAATTTCATACTTTAGGCGAGTCTTTTAGATCATTTAGATCTAATTTGCATAATAAGTGGCATAATAATGCAAATTATCTCTTCACTCGGTTGATCAAGGCATCAAGCCCATCTTCCGTGGGACCTGACGAGACAAAAAATGTTGGCAATAGATAATGCTAGATTACGACATTTAAACTACACAATAGCATTTATTGCGAGTATTTCAACTAAAATTTGAAATGCATGTGAGTAACACGAAGTTCAGTACATGGATGCAAAGAAGCTTTAAATCATCTATACAAGAAAATTACTACCTGTCCGTAATCTAAGTCATCGTGTGTACGAGCATTTAGAATGCTGCTTCTCAAATAGAGGTGGCAGATAACTCTAAACGAAAAGAAAATGATAATTAATCATGTAAATAGTTGCCCCTAAGCACACTTTGGACAGGTTAATATTAGGAAATAGTGAGATAAATATTTTTTATTGAATCTGGTAATACCCGCATTAGTCGTGTCTTCGACCCAGAATGTGTTGTGATTCATGTTTATAACGTCTTGTTACATGCGTGAAATTAACGTTATTTGGATATCAGAATTCGATTTGAAGTATA